AATCTTGTCACATGTATCTATCTACATTTCAGCAGATATGGATTTTATAATCCTCTTACACTCTGCTAAGACATTTATGTTGCTGATCTCATCAGCTGTGAAATACGTATCATTACATTATCGTAAGATATATTGTATATGTTCGCGCTGCTCCTCAGATTTCATGAGCCCTCTATCCTTATCGTTATATTGACCTGTTTCTCGTTTCTTGTTTTTTCTTATGTTATTCTTTTATAATCATCTTGAATATCTTTTTTTCTGCAGAGGATTTTTTGTTTTTGTTTATTCTGCTTAAAATATTTATAATGTTGATGTTTGCTTGTCTGTAATTCTTACAGAAAAAAAATATATATACTGTAGATGTTAGATGTGTGAAACTCATTCTTGGTGTACATTCATAAGTTACAAATAGAGTATATTTTTTTATTATTCCGATCGGGATCGTATTTCATTTTCTATGATCTCATCCGTTTATTTCTTTACGAATTGCAACAAAATACATCATGAGGATTACATGCTCTATATAGATACGAAAACAGAAAAGATCAACACACACTTCTCTGGATTAATTTTATTGTTCTTTTCATTCCCTCTCGATGATGATGATGATGCTGATGCAGTCCCATATATGCCAGGCCTCGATGTTGCATGCTTCGTTCGCTTCGATGGATCGCTTCTCTTTAGTGAGCGAATTCAGAGTAGGGAGTTTTTGACCGCTTCGTGCTCTGGAGGAGAGAATCTGGTAACGACTCCTGTACCGGTTCGCTTTGACCCTTTCGTTTGATGTCGAATTCCGAGTAGGTAATTTTTAGCCGTTTCATGCTCTGGAGGATATGCTCTGGTAGTGACACCTGCACCGGTTCGCCTCGACCCTCTCGTTTGCGATAGGCTCCGTTTTCAAACTCGGTGATGGTGTTCTGGATGTCTGACTCTCCACGACAGTTGTAAGCGGTCTGATGGAAGGCGTGAAGGAACGGGGTAGGTCCCCGCCTATTCACTGTAAGGTGCTGATTGTGCCTCTTGCTTGGCTGGAGGAAGAAGGGGCAGCGAAGGCACTGACAGGCATTGGTGAGGAGTCCTAGATGCGAGCGATATTTCCGGTACACCTCATCGAAGGTCGTGGCTGTCACCTCGACCTCGCGGGCGGAAGCCGCTGCTAGAATTTGTTCTCTGGTCATCGGCTGTACCGTTTCGGAGTGGGCTTCGTCGTATTCCGACAACCAAGAGTTTTGGAGAAGGCCGACCAATTCCCGTTCGACTTCTCTTGTGTGGCAGGCGACGTACTCCTTTGCAACTTGCCTCGTCACGAAGCTGAGGGACTCTTCGTAGGTGTCGACCTTGGCGGCGAGTCGCTCACGCGAGGACCTGTACTGCAGCGCATGTCGAAGATAGACGAACATGCTCTTCTCGGAAAATAGCTCGCCGATGACGTCTCTGGACAAGCCCATATCCCTGGCGTAAGTCTTGAGAGTACGCCACGATACGGCTCCCGCGAGAGATGCGCTGTACAATCGCGTCACCTGGTCCGCCCCTAGCTGTATCGGCGGCACGAGGTCCTTTACGAGTGTTTTCGCCTGCTCTGTGGCCTCCTTCTTGGCTGCTTTCTGGACCTGTTCGAGCGTATAGAACTCTGAAAGTCGAAAGGCCCCTGAAGCTATGATCTCTTCGCTCGCCGTCCGCACGCGCCTTTGCAGAATCTCTCTTTTCTCGTCCTCATCTTTTAGCGCTTTTGCAAAGAGATCCGTGTAGGGCGTGTCTTCGTTTTTGGAACTCTCGGTGCGACTCATGTTGCGCCCTACAAATTCGAGAAGGGTCAACCTCACGATCTCTGCAACTTCTCTCGGATCTATGTCACCCTCCTCTTGCTGCTTCATCAGGCGTAGCATAAACATGGGTTTGATGAGAGATTCACACCGCACTGGACGACCTTCTACGGTCGCGGTACTTTCTGTCATCAGCGCCTGAGGTGGGTCTTCCCTCAGGAACTTGCAGTACCGAGCGTAACCCCTCCTCTCGGTGTACAGTGAAGCTGTAGCGATGATGTTCGCCTCTCGAAGACGAACATGTTCCGGTCGCGGAACTTCTGGGTGATCGTACAAGATCCTCACCCAGCAGGAAGCCAAAGATGCCATGTGCGCATCGAAGTCTACGATGTGAGGATTCTTGAGGACGGCGAAGGTAGCACACATTGCATAGAGACGCGTTTGGACGAGAGGTTTCATCACCTTTGCAGATTCCGGGGTGAACACCGGAACGACGGCATTGAAACGAGTGTTGTCGTCATCGTCCTTTAGCTTCACGTCCTTGTGGCGGTCGCCGGGTGCCTTGTTTTCTGCAGAAGACTCGATGGCCACTTGACTCATGACGGTATAAGGAGACGTGAGGATCTTCGTGATGTTGTAGGACCAGGGGTTCAAGGCTAACATGTCTCTGGTCGGTGCAAACACCGGAATGCCGCTCATGGTAAATTGTTTGAGGAACTCGTACTTGTTCAGTTCTAACAGTTGAAGGAAGTCGTCGTCTTGGAGATCCGATAAGGTCGAGGCCATAGTGATGCGGCAGCAGTCTTCCGGAGTTACGATCAGGGCCTTCAGTTCTGCTTTTTTCGCCAAATACACTTTCCGAAACTCTTGACAGTCATTCGCATAATCGTCATCAGAGTGACCTTTCAGCTGCAGGGACCTGACTGCGTACTTGCCTGCAGACACAGTGGTGCTGAGTACATCTCTTGCGAGTTCTAAGGCGTCTTCGTATTTTTCAAGGGTCAGAATTTTCCTCATCTTGTTCACGGTAGTTCTAAATTCCACCTCGGTCGTCTTGTTACCGGCTCGTGCGAGCCTTGCTGCCACAGAGTGCCCCTCCGATCCAGTCTGCTGCAGAGCGGTGTAGAAGAGACGCTCCGTGAACGGAAGCAGGTCAGAAGGAATCCGCTTCTTCAGGTTGTGGTACTGAATCGCTACGCCGTTCCACTGGCGAAATATCTCCATCAGGATCGGGGTCGTGGCCGCGGATCGTTCTAAAATCAGCTGGCCGGCGCAGTGCCCCTGATGGTAGATCTTGAGTCCTTTGTCCTTTTCGGGATCCTCCGGAAAGTAGACCCACTCTGAAAGGTGGAACTCTTTCGTGGGTGGTGACCCTAGCATTTTATACCCTGGAACAGATAGCTCCATGTTCGAGTCGTTCCTTTTAGCAAGGTGATCGCCGATGGCTATCATCTTTTCATCAACCTCACCATAACCGTTAACCCAGAAGAGTGTGGGCAGATTCGAACTACCGTTGTGAAGTCGTGACCGGATATCGAGGCTGTACTGTACGGGGAAACGCTTTTCGATCCCCAGTAAATAAACATCGCAGATCTTTCCCGTTGGTTCTTTCATCTTTTCTATGACAGTATTCGGTCGCGGCACATCGCTGCGGTTGTGGTCACCATCCGTGATAAGGAACACCTTGATGTACTTTTGCCTACAGTTGTGCACCTTCTCGACGATGGTCCGTAGGGCAGATGTCAGATTAGTCCCTCCGCCTTTGTAGTCTTCCTTCCACAAGAAAGGGACGGATTGCCGGTTGGCCTTAGTGTCGTAGTATCCCAACTGCTCGACCTCATGATTGAAGACGAAGATCTCTGTGGTTCCTGACAGCTTTGGAGCGACGTATCTATTCCAAGCCGACACGATGTGTGACCAATGGTTTCTCATCGATCCGGATACGTCAGCCATCAGGATGTTGAAGCAGTTGTATTCACTGGGGAGCTTTGATTTCAGAGGAGTGTGTTCGGCGGGGATTGAGGAGGGCATCTTAAGCAAGAAGTGAGTCTTAATCTCGCCATTCTCTGTCTGGTAATCACGGAGAGAAAAAAAAGGAGGGGGTTAGGTAGAGAAACGGGTAAATAAATAACAATAATAATACAAACACAAAGAAAGAATTTAACGTGAGGTGTTATAATTGCTCACCTTCTCCCTGGCCTCATAGAGCCTGGCGTCACTATATACAGAGTCGTCCGACAACATTTCGTTATCTTCGATGATGTCCGGCAGGCACGGCGGCGGTTCACCATCCTCGATGATGTCCGGACAGCACATGGGTGGCGGCTGCCAATCATCATCGTTGTAGTCGCATCTCTCATCCGATATTGGATATTTATTCATCGTCGCAATCTAGTAGAGATGCATAAAATAATAATCGTCTATCGCTTCACGTCTTCCACAACGCAATCAGGATTGTTTAACAAAATATTGAGGAACACGTCTCTCTCTCTCTCTCTGAGTTATACAGTTATACGTATCTGCTGTTTCAAAATTATTTTGTCAAACTCTGACATTATTGAACACTGCTACTCACCTCTTGATGCTTCGCTCCCTGGAGAGAATGTGCATGCAAGTTCTTGGACTAGCCAGCTTTATGTATACCAGTGGAGAGGATGTCTAGGATCTCCTTGGACTAACCAGCCTTATATACTATCACGGTATCGAGCGCATGTACACAAACATACGCAAACACAAATATATAGAAAAAGGATGAGCTGACAAATGTAATCGGTTGGACGACGAGTATATTTATGGAAGGAATAGCAGGGAAAGCAAAAGAGTATTTATTACATTTTATTTACGTTTTATTTTATTTATAAAACAGGTTATATTGGACATTGGGTGAATAGTGCAATATCATATAGCCACTGGATCTCCTTTTTCTTCTTCTTCTTCTTCTTCTTGTCACACGGGCAAGCAAATATTTCAATAAAAGAAAACAAATATATAAGTGAAATATCAAAAGAAACAGTAATAGCAATATAGCAGATGAGAAATTATGCAATTATATATTTGGAAACTTTATTCGTAACATAACAGCTAACATTTCTACATTGTGAAGTCGGCAATGATTCTTTAATGAATCAATCAACTCTTATATATTCTAAAGTTTGCGTGTGGTAAAGATCTTTTTTATTTATTTACTTATTTATTTATCCAATTTATATTTTACAACCTCAGCTAGTTGGTTAAACTTTACGTGCTGGATACAACAAGCATCTGATCAACTTCTTCAGACTGAGACGAAGAAGAAGAAGGAAGAAGAGGAGGAGGTTGTTGTTGTCCAGACTTAGTCTGAAGTTGTGGTTGTTTTTTGTTTTTGTTTTCTAGTGCATTAGTGACACTTATAGAAGCATAGGCATCAACATTACGTTGGGCTAGATCCAGTAAATAGGCTTGACTGTAAATACTCTCTAAATCAAGTGTCTCGTTCTCCAAAAGGTGTTGTCTTATCAGAGGTGAAGCAATGCCATTGATGAAAGCATCGCAGATGAGTTCCTGGCGATATTGTTCTGCAGTCAATGCTGCCTTTAGGTTGCAGTCCTTACTCAGTTTTCGAAGTTCTTGTAGATAGTCGTCTAAAGATTCGCCCGGGTGCTGTTTCCTGGTAGCTAGCAAATGTCTCGCCAAAACCACATTCGGAATTTTCACATATAAGTTTTGCAGTATTTTAATGGCACTTTCGTAGTCAGAGCACTCTTCTATTTGGTCGTACACGGTATAAGAAACACAGTTTATTAAAGTCTTGAACCTATCGGGCGCAGATTCTCCACATTCCTCAATGTAGTTTGTAAATGAACGATGCCAGTGTTTCCACTCTTTGCTTGCGGTGGGAGAATTTGGATCCACATCCAGTTTAGAGGGCTTGAGAATATTAAGATTCTTCATGATGGCTTGTGCTGTAAAATAAAATAAATGTATGTCCCTTTTAACCTATAAATTCTAAGTGAATATGTGTGCATACAAAGATATACTTATGGTGACCATTCCGATAGCCTGGTCGTCTTTGTGGATATTATTCGTCGAACAAATAGACTTTTAAACACATGAACGCGAATACATGCACAGGTGGTAAACTTTTCTCTTTGACAATTAGAGTGTCGTCAGCAAAAAAAAATTACAATCATCGGGTGTAAATAAAATCACAATCAGAATCGACAATAAAAATATTTCCGCGGGTGTAAGAACACTTTACAGTTATCCACGTACAAATATTGCTTAGAAAAATAATAAAATGCAAGTAAAATACAACTGTTAGACAGATAGGCGGATGGATGAAATCATGAAAGTGAATATTGGATTGAAATAATACTAATAGAATACTTCATCTTTTTTATTCTCTGTAAGATTTTTCCCTTTCTTCATCTTCTTCGTATCATCATCCAATAAGTTCATAAAAGTCTTTAGCCAATATAATCAAGAGACTAACAATGGATGCGAAACCACTCACTAATACTCGCAGATGAAAAGAGCCAAATTGTATTATCTACACTCTTTATGACCTTTATTTTCTTTTATTGCGGTATGTTATCAAAGTTTACAATGCTAAGGGTGTGATTCGTTTATATCCCTTTTCTTTCTCTCTTATTTTCATCGCATCCTTCTCCTTTCGTTTCCCGACTCGTCGTCGTCGTGTTTTATCCGTGTGCATCTAATATTATGTGCATTCGCGAAGATCCCGGGTGTCTCTTTCTGCTTTTTGTAGGTATGGTATTCAATGGAATCTGGTGGCGGCGATGGTAGCAACATTATAACGTCTTTTGATTTATTCGCATTCCGAGATGGCTTTACGAGGTCACTCGAACTGAGAGCCAGAGTAGTAGAGAACATGTCTTTTAGATCCATGACGACACGATGTTTTTCGTCAAAAGTGATTTTGCTCACCTGACTGAAATTCTTCTGTAATTCAGAACACCAACTTGCCTTACACACAGTGTGTTCATTGAACGCGTGTGGCGCTATAGCGGCCACGAGCGTTTCATTACCACCAATTCTGCTGTGGCAGAGGTAATCGTGTACATGGTTAAAAGTTTTCTCCAAGTACCGACATTTTTTTAGGGTCAGTTCTTTTTTGTGTTTATTCCGGAGACTTTTCAAAGTTGTTCTGAGATACTCCCTGACGGATGGAAAATCCGTACTGTCTGATCTCATTTTATATGTGTTGGTAGGTATTCTTTGTATTGTGGGTTTATACTGTACCCTCTTCTTTTTTATATGTATACTATGAACAAATATACAATATGTGTTCTTTGCATTCTTCGGGACTATATTCTACCTTCTTCTCTTTATATACCATGAACATTTACGATACATACATTCTCTGTCTTCTGGGTTTATACTCTACCCTCCTCTTATTATACGCCATAAGATATATATTCCCACACCCGCACATGCGATAAGAATATCACCTATACTAAAAAAGAATATTATTCCAGATGGAACGGCACACCGGAGACACAATTCACTCTACTGGGAGCATTATTTCCGCCAACGAGATGGCCATCCGTCCACAATGTTTGTGATTGGAGCGGATGCGTATTCAGATACATGTTTAAATCTTCTCGTAAGATCCGTGGCCTGTCATCTTGGTTGTTATAGTCAATGCTCTCGACCACGGTATACGATCCGTCGGGAAATCCGGTACACGGTCCGTTCAGATCGAGTAGTAGAGTACCTGGTCTGTTAACGAGTGTGCTACCCATGATAGGGTGTTTCACACCCGCGGCCGATATTGTGGATGAAGGTTCAGAAGTTATTGACTTTAATCCTGGATAGGGAAATGTTAGACTCGGAATATGGTTTGTGTTAATATCGATAGAAGAAGATGAAGAGAAGGAGGAGGAAGAAGTAGCAGCAGAGGTAGTAGTAGAAGTAGTAGTAGTAGTAGTAGTAGTAGTAGTAGTAGTAGTATAAGAAGGGGTCGGTAATTTCAACAACTGACGATGATCACGACAATCGCACATTAACATTTCTGTACTATTGTCTCTAATGTTCTTCTGGTATCCGTATAATACAACACTCGCAACGGGAGGACGGCTTGCACAGTTGCCGGTGACCGGAGGGATGTCGTCGTTATCCGTTTCGTTACTTTTATTCTTACCTGTATAAGTTAAAATATCGGCTTTGTTAAGCTTATAATTTTTATTAAATACTATTGAACGATATGGTATGGTGAAGGCTGTCATTACCGTTGGAGGGTGAGGTAAAATTAGTTGTGGTTTCGGGTGAGAATCGTTCTCATTGTCATAGTATCTATCTTGTTTATCCTTTTCGCTACCACCAACACCGTTTAAAATTGTATATTCTTTAAAGAATTTAGCATTTATTGCAGCAAAATATAAAAAGGGATCTTTAAATATTCTGTGGTTGTCTATCTCATTTCTTTTATTATAATTTTCCTCCTCCTCCTCCTTATTGTCTTCATCATAATTATTTTTGATAGTGTCGTCTTTGTAAATGACACTTTTTCTTAGATAAGCAGTAAGTTTACTGGCGTTAAGCTGATTGGAATAGTGGGAAAAAATATAACTTGGTGTGTAATTATTTTTTTCATAAACTACAAACCAGATCTTCATTATGCAAACTATAAAAAACATTACCATCGTTGTTAGATAAAATATAAGAAATATAAACTGTAACATTGTTCGATGGATATCACAAGACACGTTCTCTCTCCTTTTAATGGAAGTTTTAATAATGAAGATGACAACAATAACCACATATTCGGTATTGAGCCGGCAGGAGCTCTAATCTTTTCTACGGATATTATAAGAAGACATCATCAATGGATGAACAGTATGAAATGTAGCATTAATGATACGAACCATATTACTACTACTAATGCTACCACTTGTGTTATTGTCGATAATAATATTCTTACATTATCAAAACTACAGTCCAACAAAAATTCTGAGATATATAATCGTAAAAGAGTCTTTATAAACGCATATTGGTTACTGTCAACATCATCATCATCATTACTACTCGGTAAAGATACTGACGATGATAACGGTGTTGAAGAGGTGGAATCTACTTCTACTACTACTAATATGAATTATAATGATAACTACAATATTAAGAACAACATAACAAAAACAACAACGACGTCGGCGGCGGCAGTGGCGGAGGCGATGACAACTGCCGCTAATCATAATGGTATTGATACGTTGGATGATATGTACCCTCGGACGCGTCCTGGAAATCCACAACGTATATCAACAAGCGTCTTGTATATTTATGATCTAAATAAGAGCCAATTGACAGCTTTGAATCAGCGTCCATTATTCGACCTCGAAGATGGAATAATTGGAAGAGTTTTACAGTTTATGTAGTGTTCTTTCTTTCTTGATCGTCTCATCGTGGTATGTACATGAGTTCAATAAAATCATTTTTTAAAGTTTTCATGGTTTATTTTATTATGCGCTATACATTAAATCGAATGGAATGACAGGAGGTGGTCGGTTTTCGTCAGTCCTAGACCAGATGGATATCACTTTTTTCTTGATATCGTTCTTTCCTAACAGATGATTGATGACGCCGACTGTGCTTTGATCCTTTATCTCCGATAAAGATATTCCTATTTCTGTCACGTCAGATCTTCTTGCTAGAGCCCTCTCTATCTCCAAGAACGAATGGAAACATCCACTATTCCATTTTCTTTCGACTGGATCAAATGTCTTTACGAGAGATTTTCTGTGACACGATGCTCTTCGTAGGGTGATGCCCATCTCCGGCTCATAGATTGTGAGAACTCCACCTAAGAGAACCATGCGAATAATCAGTCTGTCGCATCGTACTGCAGCGTTCCACCGGTCATAGGTTAAGATTCTTACGTCGTGATGGTTGGGCTGCGTCATATTCCTCAAACTGTTCATGTGGTCTACGTAAAGATCTATGATGGGATTATTGTAACCGTTCCTCTCTTTCATCGTCGACATGACCGAGTTTTTGACCGATGCGGGTGACGCACTGGCAATTGTCACAGAGTGGCCAATTTGTGGTAGCGTCTTTATATCTCCTGGAACCGTCGGA